CGGTAAGCGAGCACAGTGCCGCTCCCTGCCCCGTGTCCCCGCTGTCTGCAGCGGGAAAGCTTTTCTTCAGCTCATGGGCGCTTTCTCGCTGTGCTCCATTGGCGGAATTCGGGCTCTAGCCAAGGCGAGCAGTTTCTTTTCCGCACTGGTCACGCGTCTCTTTAGTTTCCTGGTGTTGTAGGACAAGCAGTGGGGAAACAGATATGGAGGTATTTCACAGAACCATAAAATTTTAGGGTTGGAATGTACCTTACAGATGATCTAATCATGGGCAGGGACACCTCCTCACTAGATCAGGTTGCTCAAGGCTCATCCAACCTGGCCGTGAACACTGCCAGGGTCGGGGCAGCCACCACATCCCTGGGCAGCCTGTGCCAGTGTCTCACCACTCCCACAGGGAAAAACATTTTTTTTAAAATCCAACCTAAACTTTTCCTCCTCCAGTTTTTGAACCCATTACCCCTTGTCCTATCAGTGCAGTTCCTAACACAGAGTCCCTCTCCAGTTCCCTTGTAGGCCTTTCAGATATTGAAAAGTTGCTCTGAGGTCTTCACACAGTCTTTTCTCCAGGCTGAACAGCCCCAACTCCCTCAGTCTGTCCTCATAGGAGAATATAGGCATTTACTTACCATTGAAGTTGATTTCATTTGGAATTAGCACCTAAAAGGTGATTATTTTTTTTTGGAGGGGAGAGGTTGTCTGCAGTTTACAGGTACTTTTATTTACCTTATTTTTTTCATTTAGGACCTTGTTTACTACTTCCCAGACTCCTCTACTGCCCTCTTCCTTTGTTTATTCATTTAACCGGGTGTTGTTTTTCCCTTCTCCAAGGAAAAAAAGACTGTTTTGTCTGCTTGTTCTTTCTTTCTTTGGGGAAGCAGAATTAAAAACTCTACAGTGTGTTTCAGCTGAGCCAGATGGATTTACATTTACCCCGAACTTTACTTTTGTTTTTAAATATACATCTTAGAGCTAACACACACTTGTCAGCTTGAGAGAGCTTGGCCTTCTTGTAGATCTCACCAGAGTTTCATATTGTTAGGGACTGTTGTGAAATAAGTGTTTTCCTTTGTTAAACCTTGTTTCTCACACATTATATTTTTCTCACCTCCAAGTGTCTGTCAGTTGTTTGGTTTCTCCCCTCTCAGTGGTGTTTTGGTGTTGGCTCCGTGTTTGGTATGGCTCTGTCAGCTCTCAGCCTGGAGAAAGTAGTAGGGCTGTCGCTTACACATGGAGTGAGTCCGTTGCATGTCAGAGGTTTTGTCTCCTCTTTGCTCTGGGGCAAGAACAAACCAAATGAAGGATGGAAGTAACTACTGTTGCAACAGACCTGTTACACCTCACTTCAGGGCTTGCTTAGGAGAAAGGAAATTATTTTGTTGAATTAATTCATATGACTTAATGGAGAAACATTTCTTCTACCATTTTAGTGTTGGTGGGGCCTGAAGGGTATGGATCTTGTCAGCATCATGTTGATCTTGGCCAAACTATTAAGAACAACTTGCTTTCAACTAGGAGCAGTGTTAAAATTAATTGAGCCGTGACAGACTGGAAGTTTTGGTTTTATGACTTTGGCATTCGGTCCACCTTTTAGTGTAATTAATTTACCAGTGCTGTTATCTCCTGAAGGGGATGGCTGACACAGCAGAAACATCTCTTAATTTCCGTTAGTGAGTCTCTGGATGCAACTTCTTGCTCTGTGAAGAATTACTGCTGTGCAGCTGTGTAGATAATTGCACTATTTGCAGCTTAAATCTCTTTCCTGTGCCCTAGGAACTGACTCAGAGTTAACTTTCTAGTGTTAGAAAACTGTTCCAGTAGCCTCTCCCCTCCCCTTGCTCCTTTTTATTTATTTATTTTTTATTTCAATCAGCCAAAAAGTATCTCTGAACTTTGTCCTGTCAAGTGTGGACGAGAGTGGCTGTACCAGGTCAGGGTCTGGCCTGGGGTCTGGCAGGGTGTTTTCACAGCAGTTCTTTCAAAGGAGCAGTGTCAGGCAGTGAAATCGGATTGTAAACACTGACTTTGCTCTAGCAAAACTGAACTTCCTCTTGGCTTAACGTCCTGTAACCCTCTCAGAATTCACAGCCCAAACAAACTCTTCTTGAAGCACTCTGTGGCATACTCATTTTTAATCACAGTCATGTTATCTGTGTACATCATGCTCTGTTTGACTGCTAAGAATATGGTGATAGTTCATTCCTTATTCAACAACTGTGACTTGTTTTTGTACTCCCCCTCTTCCCCAGTGCTTTATTTTTGGTGACTGGCTTTGCTCTCACGTTTGTGTTCCAGGTGGGAGGCAGCAGTAATGCTAACTCTGGCCAGCAAGTTGAAGCGGGATGATGGTGTCAGAGGACCCCGTGCATCAAATCCAGCCTCGGACTCAACTCGGAGGGTGTCTGTTCGAGATAAATTACTTGTTAAAGGTGAAAGGAACTTACATTTAAATATTTGGAGCTTTACAGTTTGTAGGTGTGTTGCCAGTAGACAATACTCAATGGCACATGAAGTGATTTCCAGGAGTATTTTTAAAGTGGCTTGTGACTTAGGTTAGGATTGCTGCCGTAGGGGATATATTGACATGCATCTCAGCTCCAGCAGCTCTTTGCCTGTAGGACACTTATTTTCATTGAAAAATGAAAACTAAAACAAGCATCCTTCTTACTGTGCTGAAAAATGAATCCTTCATTCAGAACTGTTGTCAGTTGAAATGTGATAAAAAATTGTCACTAAGTGTCATTAAATGTATAGAAGGAGAATATGAGAGGCAGCAAACTTTAATGAGCTTAAAGAAAGAAATGCAAAGAGGTGTTTTGTAGGCTTGGAGTGACTAGAAGTTGAGTATGAAGTTGTGAATAAAAAACCAGTGCTCCTTTTTGTGTTGCAGTATGTGTGATCTAGGAAGGCTGCTGTGAGTTGTTACCAGCTGGGTTGCTCTTGGTGGAGAAAAGAAGCCCCAGACTTTTATTTTGTGACAGTTCTGGGTAAATAGGGTAGTTCATGAGGCAATAATTAAACTATTTGATAGTGAAATCGGGGACAGCTCTTTCTTGCTCTTCATGTTTTTTCTGTAGCATAGACTATTATATTTAAAAATCCATAGGTGCTGACACTTTGCAGTTGTTATGGACTTAAGCTCAGGTTTGCTCCCTCTGGTAATAGTTGAGTGTTTTAATGCTTGAGCTGTGCAATTACTTAGTGGCAAGGAATGTGTTGTTTAGGTTTATGTTTCTGCTGAAAAGGATCCACAGCAAATATTCTGCTGTTGATATGTAAGCTGCCACTGTTAGGATTCATGCCAGTCAAAGGAAACTCATGTTTCCAGGCCTTGTTTCAGAATGACATGAGACTGACACGGGTGTATTTGCCTTACTGATATTGCCTAGCTAGCATTGCATATGGCTCTTTCAGATTAGGGTACTTTCTGCCATGCAGCTAGTCACTGGAGTGAGGTGTCACTGCAAATTCTGCTGCCTCAGTGCACTGGAAGTGCCTCAACTAGACTGCAGGGATGTTGTATTCACAATTCCTTCTCTGCATAGTTCTAAGGACGGGGAATTTAAATATGCTTTAGAACCTGATGTGTTCACTCTTGCAGAGTTTGCTTTAGACTTCCAGTTTGGAAATCCTCACTTAGCTTCAGTTCTGAGTGGGGGAAGATTCAGGCAGGAGGAATAAGCTCTTTAACCAGGCTAAGCCATAAAGCCAAATTACTAAATATATATAATCTGAGATTTTCACTAACCTACAGGTGTAGACTTGAGGGGAAGATAGCAGTGTAATATAAATGCACTTCAACTACAATGCTTGGTATAGTGTGAGGTGCCATGAGAAATTTTACTGTACCCTTAGAGCAATCATGTTTTTGTTTTTTAGGGCTAAAACCTCACCCCAGTCTGCAGGGGACGACAAGAACATAAGCTAATGAAAATTAGTATTGACATTGTAATTGCTGTGGCTACATTAGCAAACCAGCACAGACTGAGTATTGAACTGAGTCCCAAACTGACATGTTAAAGCAGGTCACTGCTGACAGGATTCTGACAAGCTGAGTGCTGGATCCTGATCTGACTGTGCATGCCGGTGGTATTGCTGCCGTGAAATGAGTGGCTTAGTTTGCTTAAAGAGTCACTGTCAAAGGTATTGGTGAAAACATGCTTTAATATAAATTTGCAAAAGCACAACAAAGTTGGGTGGCAAGGTTTATGCTGCTTCTTACTGCATGGATAACACATAGGATGGAAAATCAAATTAAAATAAATTTAGCATGATTTATACAGAGCCTGAAATGAAAAGGGGTAAGGGAGGAAAAGGTGAAGAAGACTTTTAGTTGAATCATGAGGTTCAGAGTGAACTCCCTTTCTAAACTCCTCGGGGAGGAATATCAATGTGGCTGGATCCAGTCTTAGGCTTGGACTCAGTCAGCAGGTTATGTCTGAAGGGTTTAGCAGCAGTGTTTAAATGTTAGATTAATCACTAACCAGATATGAACATAACTGTTATAGATTTGAGATAATACTATGTATACTATTCTGTATACTGTTACAATACATGTGTACTGCTCAAGTCAGTACAGGGACATACACAAAGATACATCTAAACAAATGTACAAAGTAACACACACATACGGATATGTGTATATACAAAGGTATGCCTATTTTAAAATTACCCTCCAGAATCAGTGAAATGCTCATGTTTGATGCCTTTTGGGAAATTACTGGAATTTGCTGAAATTCGAGTAAGGATAGTGCTGTTTCACTCAGGCTGTAATTCAGATAAGCAATCTTCCAGAGCTGTCAAAGGATGGCTGATTATTCCCGCTCTCATCTCTCACCTTGTCCAGGCAACAGGAGTTCTTGGTACAGTCAGTGCTGCTCCCACCTTGGCTTTGAAAGAGTTCCTGGTACAGTTATGGAATGCTTCACCACCAAGGTCTTGCACAAAGGCGAATAAGAGTTAGTGGAACTGTAGAGCCTGAGCAGCCCAGAGGTAGAGAGTAGGGGATGCACTACCACAATCATGATGTGCTCTCAAAAGAATTGTAGGAGTGGCTGTCAGTCTGGTTAGAATGGCTTCTGGACTGAAATGGGAACTGACAGTAGGAGTAGATAATTTCAGTATAACTTCACTGAAAGTGAGAGGAAAATGTAGTAGCTAGTGTGAAAGACTTGTTGGGGATATTCTCTTTTAAGCTGCTCTTTAAGGTAAATGTAGGCCTTTCAGTTTCTAGAATTTACTCTGACACTTTAGGATAGATCAGTTGCAGCAGCATCTATGATGTTGAGAGCCTGAGTGAAGATGGACTTCTCATGCTGACAGTGTTTTTAGGTCATGTAAAGATCTGCAAGAATGAGCTCGAACAGGAGTGGAGAGCTGCCTGCTAAATGTGTGCACACAGCTGTGATGCTGTTGCATCTGGACCAGCACTGGTGCCTTTTATTGCTTGGTTGTATGGAAGTGTAACAGCCCAGCTGAACTTCAGGCTGTCGTATTAGATCACGAAGTTAGTGGGAGCCTGCAAGAGTAGTTGTAAGGAGTTGTTACTAGTGTGTGTTGATGCTGGACTTGCCACAGATGACAGTTGCAGAATGGGTGAAAGGCTCAATCAGGTCAGTCTCCTGGCAACAGTGAATTAAAAAATAATCTGCTCTACATAAAAGAAGAGAAATGCTGGCCATCAGCAAGGGAGGAGGAGGAGGTGAGAAAAGACCCAGAGTGTTCTGTCCTTGTTTGCCCCAGCAGCTGTGCTGATGTTAGTCCTGGTTCAGTTGCATCTGTTAACTGTTAGTAGTGGTGGTTTTATTGTACTATATGAAGCCTCCAAGGGAGGCTGTGGCCACATAGATGAGAAAGCTCACTGATGGCTTTGTGCTTTCTCTAGCACACGGATCCTTTTTGGCTGTAAACACATCTGTAGCTTCTGAGTCAGTAGAACAGTGGGCAGCTGGTGTGTGCAGTGTCCTCCACAGCAGCTTACAGACATGGTAGGCTGTCCTGGAAGCTTCACTGAGGGTGATTTTTGGCACAGTACCATGATTCCCACCAGGCCCTGGGAGCTGGTGATGCTGTGTGACCCAAAGTCAGATAGATTTTGCCTGCTCAGGTGAGGCTGATGATGTGCTGGAGAGACACTTTCCTATTCCTGATCCGTGGTAAATTGGTGATAGTCTAATAAATCCTGCAGACAGATGTCTGCGAGCTTTACTCAGGGTATTGTCCAGACACAGACAGTGTCTTTTTATTCCTCTGGAGGTGAATTAAAGGCAGCCTTGTTTGTGTTGATGAAGTCCATCCAGGACTTCAATGGATGTGTTGTTACACTGAAAACCCTGCAGCACTCAAATGTATTGTGTACACTGACTGGTACATAGATCAATGCCATTTTGATTAAGGGTAGATGACCATGACCCCAGTCACTTGATAACTGTAGATGACACTTACGAACTTTTAAAAATTTGGCATAGGCCAACTATGTATGTCTGCTAACTGATACTGCCTTAAAGCAGGAAAAGCAAGGGATCGTTTAGGTATGATGTTAGCTACTTGCACCATATGGATGTGAAGAAAAAGCTCAGTCAACATTTGAAGTAGCTCACATACTGCCAATTTTACTAAAACTCTCAGCAGGGTGTTGTCAGGCGCTGTCCTTGGCTTTAGTGATGGGTGCAAGTTAAACAGGCTTTTTCCCACATTTGTGGGAAAGCTACTTTTAAACTACTGGTGCCCTTTGTTAGTTTTTTAAGTCATTCCTTTGTTTATATATCCTGCATTGTTATATATTCGGGTATTCATGGCTCAGGGCACTCGTTTTGTTGGGTTATTTAATTTTGTTTAGGGAAGTAATTCTGAGACAGCTGGATGCTCTCTTCCAGCTATTTTTCCTCAGGAGTGTAAAACTCATGACTGCTAGACAGGATTTTGTAGCAGCTTGTGCCCTGCCAATTTTCCCAGCAACTAATGGAACAGGTTTGGGACTTGAGCAGGGCACATGTGTCTGGGGTGAGGAACGCACCAGTGGCTCTGATCTGAAACCCTGGGAAGGCACAGGAAGGCATCCACCAGTTCAAAATTGCTGAGGGCATAAGTGTCTGAGGGTGTGGGAGGGTAGGGACTAGTATTTCAGGCTGCCAGTTTGTGGAGAGAGGTTTTCTGGCCAAGGAGGGGTGGTCTGGAGAGACCAAGCAGTGATTAATGTGTTTCAAGATAAATCAAATAGAGGAAGTGTGAACAACTGCAGAAGATGAAGCAAATGCTGATGTGAGGAACGGGAACAGACAGAAATGGTGCTTGGAGGGTCTCTGCTGCCAATCTCTCACCTGGGAGAGGGGTTCTAATACAGCACAGCTTTGTTAAAAGCTTCATTAAAAGTTCAGTGTGACTTACTGTCGCATCTGTTTTCACTGGATTTTCAATATAGGCTCAGTTG